GCAATTGGCAGGTAGCTTTTACAATAGCAAGATGGATTCACAGCATGGAATGTGTTGATTGCTCGTGTCAATCCCTTTGCAATTTTAAACTAGTAGTAATTAGAGCTATAAATCTCTCCCAAGTATAATTAGATTACTATTTATACCTATTGTCATTAAAACCAGCCTGAGACAATTACTTTTTTTGGTTCCATTGCCGGCAAAAGTCTCTTTAAAAGCAATAATCACAGTGTTTAACGCAATCCATATTCCTAATTCTATAATGCAAAATATCAAGGAAATTAGGCTGCCTCCCTCTTATACCCAATGAGATGATATGGCAAATTCACTTGTGTGGGTTTCCTAAATTACACTTATCAGTGCTGGATTAAAGGGCATTCGTTCATTGAATAACACTCTAGACTACATTTATTTGACAGATATGTCATTCCCCTTTTCCTATCCATATATGTAACGATGCAAGCACAGTCCATTTAGCTTTCCTCTGCTTTGCTTCAAAATGGGCAGGCTCTGGATATTTTCATTTTCCTCTCAAGTGGAAGCATACCCACTGCCTCTCTGTCATAGGAAAAGGAATTGTGTCACATTCTGAATAGGAACACTCCTTAATTTGTATTGTCCCTTTCAACACAATAAGCATGATCGTTACCCTCATTCAGTACTTGAGACATCTCCATATTTTTGTGGTAACATGGGGCCAGCTTTTCCCATCCATAGTGCAGGTGGATTCAGTCCTTGCGAATTAAGCTGCTAACCCATTCCTATGATCATTTTGTCTTATGACCAACTGATTGCACACAAGTTTTCTTCCTCATATTGATAAAGCTATCACATAGAGCTCTCTTGTATGGATCATCATACAAGTAAATTTCAGCGGGTTAGATGAACTATAAGCACTGCATGAAAAATACAGGAATGAGAATCGACACGTAAGATCTTGCAAAGATGGCTGTTGAATTGGAGGCCTGAAAATCTGCATCAACTTTTAGACCTCCTAGACCAAGTAGGAAAGGAGGAAGCCCCAGCTGATTCTTCCACTGGTCCTTCTGCCTACCCTTTTCTTCTGCCTAAAGTAGACATCAGGAGTCCCATTTTGCCCCACTGCTGGTGAAAAGATAGGCAAATGAGAGGACTAGGGCAGAGCAGGAGGGGACACCCATGGTCACATCAACTCTTGCTGTATCTGGGTGCTCAAATGCACACTTTGTGGTATGTTCTTCATTCAGATAAAGATTCTAGAAAGCTGTCATTTGTAGTGTTGCATCATTAAAAAACAACATTTTAATGCAGAGATGAGCAACTTGTGGGCTTCTTGTTGGGCTCCAACGACATCCCAACAGCTAGAGTAGCCAATGGTCAGGGATGATGACCATTAGCTGCAGTCCAGCACCATTTCCGGGATGGGGGCTAAAGGTTCCCCACCTGTTTGAAAACATGCTTAATTTTTCCAAACTAGTTTTATAGATTAAACTGCAGCATACAGCACATTCTTTCATTACCTGATAAAGTACTCATCCCGTCTATTCCCTTACACACAAATAATGTGAAGAAGCCATGCAAAGTATAATTGAAGCTGTGAGTTTCTCTTTTTCTTGGATTAACCATAGGTATCTTTTGGACACGGGGAAAACCAATCACTAGACCATTATGAAATTGAATGTAACACGAATGGCTGCTCCCAGCATAGAGGCTGGTTAATGGACTGCGGGATAATCCTTTTCAAGCACATTTTTAGCAAGTGGTCGAAAAAGGCGATAACAGTTCCACGAACCTCTTGTGTTTCCAGTGCTGCAATGCCAAAACTTTCACAAGCACTCTATGTTGGAATTATTTACACCGGACAAGAGGGTACACAGAGACTGAACATGGAGCCCGGCACGCTTCCGTTGCGGAACTCTGCAAGCTATCCGTGCCTCCTGCAAAAATCCTCCTCAGGCCTCTTTCTCTTGCCGGTAGCAGAGCGAAACACAGCGGTGAGAAGCAGAGTGCAGCACGTGTGGAATAAATCAGTCCAGACACAAGGCAGTCCTTATCTACTCTTGCCTTTTAATCATGAAGAATAACATCATAAATTCAGACCTGGCGAGAACTGACACATTCTCCCTTTCGCATCACGTCCGAAAGTCAGACTGAAACACACGGAGTCAAACCCCTCCCTTAAGTGTTTCTAACCACGCCTCAGGAAAGAGACGTCACCAGAACTCTTTAACTCTGTGAGTTCTGAAACCATTCACACCCCCTCTCGTCACGAATCCTGAGGGAAACTGTGAACCCCTATTTACAGACCTCTTTGAGTTCAACTCACCTCCCATTGCCTTTTGCCTCCCACTGGCATCCATCCCAGGCAATTGTTGAATCCCTTCCACACTCCCAGAATCACACTGTGCGAAACCAACCCACGCACTGGTGACCTGAAACCTCTCCGGTGGAATCCCCTTTGTGGTCCGAGTTGACCGCCGGAGCACAACCTCAGGCGCTCCTCCTGACCCACTGGGGTCAGCAAGTGTGTCTCCAGCAAGCTCAGAAGACTCCCCCTCTGACTTGCTGCGTCTTCGAGCTTCCTGCACTTGGCTAACAGGAGATGAAGGCTCACTCTTGGGTTCCCTCTTAACCTGTGGAGAAACCCACCCCTGTGCTTGACCATCATCAGCAACCTGGTCTTCAGCAACAGGCTCCGCCTCTGCCTCTCCTTCCTCCCTTTCTTCCTCCTTTTCCTCCCCCTCAGAATCGGACAAGCAGTCTGAGAGAAAATCAGAACCATACCTAGGCTGTGACCAACCATCCTGCTCAAAGAACTCAGCATGCTTGCTGACCAGCAGCGTGGTCTGATCACCCTCTGGGTATGCAAACTTCCACCCATTTGTTGCAGGATCATACCCACAGAAGATCATGTCCTGGTACCTAGGACCATCCTTCTTCCGTTGCGCTGTTGGTATTGGCACTGAAGCCTTGGAACCAAACGAACGGAAGAAATGCACCTGTGGCTTCCTCTTGTGCAACAGAAAATACGGTGTGTCACCTACATCGTGATTGTAGGACCTGTTAAAAACAAAGTTGGCAGCTTTCCAAGCTTCACTCCAAAAGCTCTGAGGCAGCCCAGAGTCACCCAGCAAAACTCTGACAGCTTCAGCCAGTGTTTCACTCCTGTGCTGTGCCACGCCTCTCCCTTGAGGAGACTTTGCACCCGTCACGTGGTGACGTATTCCTTTTTCCTTGAAAAACTCCTCCAGAGCAGACCCAGTAAACTGTGACCCTCGGTCGCTCTTGAACCCTTGCACCCTGGTGGAAAACCTTCGTTCCACCTCCGCACCCCAATCCTGGATCAGTTGCGCCGCCTCCCCCTGTGATTTGAGAGAGAAACACCAGCCAACCTGGCTGTGGTCATCTGTCAGCGATAGCACATACTTGGCCCCACCCAGACTCTCACACCTCATGGGTCCTGACAGATCTGTGTGAATCAACTCAAAAGGTTTTGTGGTTACCCTCTTTACCCGGGAAACCTGCACCTTTGAACCTTGCTGCATGCCCTGCACACTAGGGATCCCTCACATGGTGTGATTTTACATCCTTCGGTGCAGCCTGGCAGCCTCTTAACATCCTCCAGACAAGCATGAGACATTCTCTTGTGCCATACATGAACACATGAATCATGGCTGGGAACACTAGCACACTGCGCCTGTGCTTTCCCTGCATTCCCACCACCCTCCAGAGGTGTTTCCAGAACAAAGAGATTGTCCTTGCTCTCCACGTTGACAAGTTGCCTCCCCCTCTGAAAATGGAACAGGTGTTATTTTCAAAACAAATTTTGTATCCCTGCTTCGCCAGAGCAGAAACCGATAACAGGCAACACTTCATCCCTGGTACAATGAAGCACTCCAGCTCAGCCTGCAAAACAGAATTATAGACATTTGCCACTTTAGATACATTTCGTTTTTTCCGTCAGCAAATTTACAAGTCATTCCAGTTAAAACAGCCCTGCAATTCTGCAGCTCCCCAGCAGATGGCGTTATCAGGTGATGACTCGCTCCTGAGTCCAGCACCCACTTCATAGTTGTGTCCCTGCTGGCATTGTTGTTCAAAGTTGCCAGAGAAGCCGCGAGATGATAACAGTCTCCCTTCTCTGAGTCACGTCCCTCCTTCGCGTTCCCACGCTGGCCTCCTTTCCGAGACTGGTTCCCATGAGAACTCAGCTGGTTGACCTTGGAGACATCCTGCCCGGCCTCTCTGCTCTTCTGCGGACAAGCCCGTTTTAGATGGCTGTTGGATCCACAGACATAACATCGACGAGTGGAAAAAGCCTGAACACAGCTCTGATCTGGCGTGCGCCCCCCACCTCTGCAACCGGTGGAGCTGCCTGCGCCAGACCTGCCTTCTCGGACACGCCTCTCCTGTTCGTCCGAAAGACGCCCTGTCACGTACGATAGCGTCAAATCCTGTGGACTCATCGATTCCATAGACAGACACAAATTGTCATAACTTTTGTCCAGAGAGCTGAGCAAAATATAAACCTTCAGCTCTTCTGAAAAGTTGACCTGTAACAGGCGCAACTCATTGAAAACAGAAAGCATCTCAGTAACATGCTGTCTGATGTTCCCACCGGGACGCAGCTTCATCTCAAATAAGCGTCTGGTGGTGTGGATCTTTGCACCAGCCGTGGTTCTGTGGTGCACCCTCTCAAGGGCTTGGTAGGCCTCCTGAGCAGTCTCAAGCCCTTCAACCAGAAGGAAGTTGGGAACCCTCCAAACTGAGCACTATAGCTCCCAGGGCTTTCTGGTTTTCCTCTGCGACGCGTGAGCAGCCGCTATGTCCGCTGCTGCTGCTCCTGCTGCAGGTGGTGGGAGAGGGGCCCCTGGGTCGCCTCCCACAACCCCTTGGCTACCAGCCAGGCCTTTAGCTTCCGGCTCCATTCGGCCCAATTTTGTCCATTTAATTTCTCAAAGGGAACTGAGAATGATTCACGATCGTCTGCCATCTCCTCCCCGGGGGCTAAGCTTACTCACGTCTCCCGGCAGTAGCTTTCTCCGCCTCCCGGCTCCGGCAGATCGCTTCTCCCCAGCGAGCTCCTTCCAGCTTCAAAGACACAGCTCCAGAGCTCCAGCTGGACCCCAGCAACTTTCCTGCTGGCTTCCCCACACGTGGGACGTTCCTGCAATGCTTCAAAGCTTTGGCGAGCTTCCATAACCTGTTGGAATTATTTACACCGGACAAGAGGGTACACAGAGACTGAACATGGAGCCCGGCACGCTTCCGTTGCGGAACTCTGCAAGCTATCCGTGCCTCCTGCAAAAATCCTCCTCAGGCCTCTTTCTCTTGCCGGTAGCAGAGCGAAACACAGCGGTGAGAAGCAGAGTGCAGCACGTGTGGAATAAATCAGTCCAGACACAAGGCAGTCCTTATCTACTCTTGCCTTTTAATCATGAAGAATAACATCATAAATTCAGACCTGGCGAGAACTGACACATTCTCCCTTTCGCATCACGTCCGAAAGTCAGACTGAAACACACGGAGTCAAACCCCTCCCTTAAGTGTTTCTAACCACGCCTCAGGAAAGAGACGTCACCAGAACTCTTTAACTCTGTGAGTTCTGAAACCATTCACACTCTATTCACTAGGGACCAGGGGGTTATAAAAGTATGAATTCCTTAATAATGAAAGAAGAACATTCAAACCTGATGTTCTCAACCTAGACAGGCTTTAGAATAGACTTTCCATGTTGTGTGAGTTTTGACCATTTAAACTCCCTTAAATTGATGTTCTTGTAGTGCTTTCCCAAACTTATCCAAGAGCTGGCATTGTTTCTAGCAGTCCTGTGTGTATGCGCGCACACACAAATATGTGTGCACTTGCATGTGTGCATGTATTGAATTAATATTATTTACAAGCTTCTAAAGTCTGCCACAGAATGTTTGAATCAATGCCATTCAGCATATCACAATTATAGTTGTTCTATATTTAAAAAAAACACTGGAAAGTTCATTTCTTCCTCCTGGATCTATTTATATTCCCTGTAATTTTAGCTTATGTGGAAATGATGCCTTAAAGATCAATGTTACAGCTCCACCTATTACACTAATATTTTTTAAAAAGAAAGGCCACCACAAGTATATACCTAGTGATGGACCTCCCAGAATTATTAAAGGCTACAGGGAGCCTGGATCTAACTCCCTGAATGTTGGATTTGAAGTGGTCAAAAGCATGGAACATTATGGCCTCATGGAGGCACAGCCTATGAAAAATATAGTATTTGTAAATCCAGCAAACTATATGTGTATAAAGATTTTTTAAAAAAATAATATTTATTACTTTTCCAACAATTCAAACACACACAAAAATAAAAAGAAAAAAGAACAACACAACACAATACAAAAACACTACACAACACACTAAACTAACAGAACAAAAACAGTTTAAAAAAAACATCAAACAATTTCTGTATCTTATCTTTCATTCACTTATTTCAGTGACCTCCTCACACCTCCCTTTTTGTATTCCACTTCTATTAATTGTTTCAGCAATTCCTTTCCATCTTCCTCTGCTTTCTATCTTTTAATTATCTTAACAGATTCTAACCTTATTTTTCCCTTTAATACTCTATTAATCTATTTATACTTAATTCCTTATAACATTTCTACTAAAGCCATATAACTTCATTCCAACATTTTTCTAACATTCATTAATTTTACAGTATTTCTGTAAGTAGTGTTTAAACTTTTTCCAGTCTTCTTCCACCGACTCTTCTCCCTGGTCTCGGATTCTGCCAGTCATCTCCGCCAGTTCCATATAGTCCATCAACTTCATCTGCCATTCTTCCCGGGTGGGTAAATCTTGTGTCTTCCAATACTTCGCGATAAGTATTCTTGCTGCTGTTGTTGCATACATAAAAAAAGTTCTATCCTTCTTTGGCACCAATTGGCCGACCATGCCCAGGAGAAAGGCCTCTGGTTTCTTCAAGAAGGTATATTTGAATACCTTTTTCATTTCATTGTAAATCATCTCCCAGAATGTCTTAATCCTTGGGCATGTCCACCAAAGGTGAAAGAATGTACCTTCAGTCTCATTACATTTCCAACATTTATTGTCGGGCAAATGGTAAATTTTTGCAAGCTTGACTGGTGTCATGTACCACCTATAAATCATTTTCATTAAATTTTCTCTTAAAACATTACATGCCGTGAATTTCATATCTGTGGTCCATAACTGTTCCCAGTCAGCCATCATTATGTTATGTCCAACATCTTGTGCCCATTTAATCATAACTGATTTCACCATTTCATCCTGAGTGTTCCATTTCAACAGGAAGTTATACATTCTTGACAAATTCTTGGTTTTTGGATCTAACAATTCTGTTTCCAGTTTTGATTTTATATGTGTATAAAGATTAACCATGTAATGTAAAATGGTGCAGAGTCAAATGGATTAATTGGTCCAAAATTAAAATACAGTCGTACCTTGAAAGTTGAACAGAATCTGTTCCGGAGGTCTGTTCGACTTCCGAAACGTTTGACTTCCCAAGTGTGGCTGCAGGAAGCTCCTACAGCCAATCGGAAGCAGCGGAAGCCCTGTCAGACATTTGGCTTCCAAAAGAATGTTTGAAAACCAGAACACTCCCGGTTTTTGATTGTTTGGGAGCCGGAACTTTCAACTCCCAAGGCGTTCGAGAGCCAAGGTATGACTGTACAACAGTGCTGTTAATATTAAAAAGGCAGGAAGGTTTTAAAACTGCAGAGTCATTATTTGAAATGTCTTGTCTATATCTTATTCGCAAATGGCAGTGTTTTGGAAAATAAAAATAAAGGTGCTAACTTACAACTGCTACCAATTTCCAATTCTTATGCTCCTTCCATTTTCTAGTGAATGGAACAGGTGGACTTTCCTAATTACGAAAACAAGATTCTTGTTCAGTGGAACATTCTTCCCAAAGCTCGTCTTTCTATGCTAGGGAGGGACACTAAAGATAGAGATAGCTGACACACAACAGTATTTGTAATGGGTGCAAATATTGTATGTGTTTCAAGGGATGAAGCAGTTCATGTACGGCATTTATTGGTAGGAAGGAATTGCTCTTATGTGGATTCCCAACCCCCTTTATTTTTCTTGTGGACCCAACACAGCCAGATTTCACCAGAACTGAGTTCCAGCAGCATTTTAGTGCGTTCCAGCATCTCTGTAGCATTGCCCCATCACGGCGCTCGGGGCTGTCCTACAAAAGCAATCAGAGCTGTGTGGCGGAGGTCTGTGGTTAAAGGTGGAAGTTTATGTTATTTAGCCATGGTGGTGGGGCAAGTGGGCGAAGAAGAGGTCTTCCCTCCCAAAAAAGCTTAACAACTTTGGTTCTAGCACCTCTTTTTCTAGAAAAAAAAGCCCTGGGTATATCTCCAAATAAGTTACTTGATTCCAAGATAATACTACTATGAGGGTCCACAATTAAAGGCAGGCTTGATTGTGATGTTATCTACTAATATGGCCTCATTTGAACGTTTTCTGCCTCATCTATAACTTCATTTTAAGACTCGTACAGGATGCAGACATGGGGGGGGGCTCCTCTCTCCCTACTTCTGCTTTAGGTATTGCCCCTACCACGTTTATTTTAAGCACTAAAATCCAGTATCCAAGGGTCTGTGCAGTGTGCAAACACTGCCAGATTCTCAGTGCTTTAAGTTTTGACAACCCTGATCACCTGCTTGGGGAGAGGTTCAATTTAGGCTGAATTTCCCTTTCCCCAAGATGAAGACAGCGCTGATAATCTGTTCAGCTTCAGAAAAACCTCCAAGGCACATGTGGCTTCAAGGCCTAGTCTATATTCTGGAATTAAAACACACACACCAGATAAGCAAGGCGGTACATGTTCAAAACCAGGTCCCTAAGTAAGCATTTAATTAATATAAATAGAGGAGTCATTACTATTTAATCAGATATCTGAATAACCCCTATTTAAATTATGTACAGATGTAATCACATAAAATGAGACTAGGGTGCATCACTTCCTCTCCCGCCCCCAAGCCACCACTTCTGCAAGCGCTGCACACTTTAATTTTACTGTGGCAGCTTATTTAAACAGGATCACATTTACTTCATTACATCTGACTTGTTTGGGAGGTTTCTGATTAATGCAACTCTGTTTTCGGCCAAGCAAACACACATCCAGTTACTGTTGCTGTTTAGGATTTATTTAACTCACAAAGTGTGGCGTAATCTTTATTGTATTTGCTCTGAGCAACCTTATAACCCTATGTGGATCTTCAAACAAAGGGCTCAGAAAGATACAGAGAGGGGCCACACCCCAACCTCCAATTGTTCATAAGAATGTGTTGCACAGAGGCTCTAAATGCACAGTCTGTATCCTGAAACAAATGAGGACACATACCATGTGTTGATGTACATTGGGCTCCAGGCATATTCACATGGGGGTCAGTGGCAGGACCAGCAAGCACAATCCCATAATGCAACTGTATGTGTTCATTTCCACCTGTTTCCTTTTGCAGCCAAGCAGTGAGCACACAGGGTACTAAGACCAGACCAGGCAACTCCTGACAGTCAGCTGGAATAAGTCTTTCAGGGATGAGGAACCTATTGGACTACAACCCTCATTATCCCTGACCACTGGCTGTGCTAACTGGGGCTGGTGGGAGTTGGAGTCAAACGATACCTGGGTGGGTCAATGATGGTATTCAGTGGCCCAAAATTATGTGTTTATTTTATTGATATATCACCCTTCATCTAAAGATCTTAGGGTGGTTCATAAAATAAAATAAAATAAAATACAAGCTAAGAAACACAGGAAATAATTAAAAACAACAAAACAATACCCCACCCCAACAGACAAATTTAAAAGGCTGTAGACTATTAATCAGACAAATGCCTGGTTGAAGAGAAACACTTTTTGTCTGGTGCCTAAAAATATATAATGGTGGCAGGCAAACCACCCTGGAGAAATCACATTCCACAAATAGGGAGCCACTACAGAGAAGGCCCATTCTCGTGTTGCCACCCTCCAGACCTCACATGGAGGAGCTACACAAGGAAGGGCCTCAGATGCCCATCAACTGTGTGGATAGTTCAGTTGGTTAGAGTGTGGTGCTGATAATGCCAAGTTTGCAGGTTCAATTCCCCTGTGCAACAGCTGCATATTCCTGCAGGGGTTTGGACTAGGTGGTCCTCAGGGTCCACTCCAACTCTACAGTTCTATGATTCTATGATGAATGTAGAGCCCTGGGTGGTTTCTACAAACTTTGAGTGGAGATGGCCCCATTCAGACTGCATAATGCTACCTCTCCTGGGCTCAGACCATAGCTATAAGTGCCAGGCTCCTGGTCCATCTAATTTTTCGTGACTATGAAATCGCCACAGCAGACAGTCCTAGTTTAGCATCAGAATCTGAGTCAATTAACCAAGGGGAATAGGAGCCAGGTCACAACAACAAATTAACCGTTCAGGGCCCTGGATTTGTGCACAATTGTGGAGTTGCAAAATGTCATCACTGTTACCACCTGCACTCTAAATGCAGTTAGATCACACTAGAAACCTTTAATGGCTACCTGTACAAAGCTACAGGAGTGTTTATCACCACGTCATCATACGTGAAACTCACATTAGTACAGGGATATGAAGCACTTAAAATTGCAGCCACCAAGTTCAAATAGTGTATCTGAAACTAGCCAATCCAGGGTGGTGTAATTTTTATAGTTTCGAATAAGGATTAGGAGGCCCAGGGTTCAAACCCTTACTTAGCCATGAAGCTCACTCGTAACTTTGAGCGAGTCCCCTGTCTCAGCCCAGCCAACATCACAGGGTTGTTTTTAAGGTAAAATGGGGAGTGGGAGAGCCATGTGTGCCAGCTTGAGCTCTTTGTGGAGGAAAAGTTGGGTATAAATTTAATAAATAAATAATTTTCAAAATTGGACTTTTGAATTAGAAAAGAAATCAAATAGATTTCTTTGAATTAGAAAAGAAATCAAATGGAACCCGAAAGCCTCAATAGAACTCAAACCAGTTTGACTCCTTGCTCACCAGCTCCAAGCAACTGGTTCTGTTGCTCAATGTCTATACAAAAATGATTAATTGCCTGCTGCTTGCCTCTGAGAATAATAATAATAATTTCTCAGCTCCTGCTGCTTGATATACTGAAAACAAATAAGCTGCATCTTTTAAACAGAACAAAAATTATTACACAGGAACACGTGTTAAAGATTAGCAGTGACAGCCACTGAGTGCTCAAAAGTGGTCATGACCTAGCTTCAAGTTGTGAAGTGTCCATAATTTACTGAGCATTTTAATACACATGGCATTTTAAAATCTATTACTTGATCCATCCTCTCTGCCAAACCTAGGGGGCAGGCCCTCGTTGTATTCTATTTGAACTTAAACTGAGAGAAGGGGGGCTGTTTTATGGCACTGGATATTACTAGATCTAGGAAACACTGCAGTTAAGAACATATTTGTTGAGCACAGAAGCGGGTAAGAAAAATACAGCACATCCAAAGAAAGGGCTACATTAACCTCTTCCTCTGCTCCTAATAGGTTCAGGAAAGAGCATCAATTTTCTGATATTTATGACCTCCTCTAAACCTTGTTTGTGCCACTGCTCTTAACATTTTATCTGGATGATGTGTGTTTTACTTTATTGAAAGTGTATTGAAAAGCAATGCACTGTAGTTTATAACTGGCCTCTAGATGATGCTAGGATGCTTTATACTCCGTTCTGTTGAAGCACTGCTTTACTTCAAATAGGACCTTGAACTCAAATTATTTGGTAGGCACTTTCTTCAGAGTCAGTGCTTCATTGTCTATCAGATGAAAAACAAACTGTTCTCTGGAAGCCCCTCTCTGGCACTGCTTTACAGAGTACTGATGTTGATGGTGCTTAAATGGGTTTCCTGCAACTGTCGTTCCAGGGCTGCAGGCATACTGTGGTTTGGATTCAGTAGCTGGCTCTGCGGGGGCCAGTGAGGCATGATTGTGCCTACTGGGCAGAGGGTAGGGCTAGAAAGTGTTTTGGTCCCTTCCAACTCTATGGTTCTAACTTCCCACAATGACCATCTGTATCCACTGAATCCACAGAAGCATGTATTGTTCCTCGCAATGCAAAATGGAAATAGCCCTCATGAATGGAAAAATCTAGCTGGCATCAGTAGTTCTTCAATCTGGCATAAGTAAGCCATAATCAGAGGGCTCCAGTTATGGAGGTTGGGAATGTTGTTGCCACACTCCCAATCCATAAAGATAAGGTTGGTCTTTCAATTTTCATGGGGCCTCCAGATGACTGACAAGAAGAACCGATCAGGAATGAGAGTGACTGTAGAGTTAACTCAGCTGGTCTCCTGCTTGGAGAGAGGCTATCCTTGAGGAGAAGGCCTCCACCTTTCCCCACCTGGAAGCTACAATCTGGACAAGCTCTTAAGTGCTCTGTGTAGACTGCTGACTCACACTTCTTTGTCAACTTCCATAAGCTCTACTGCACAAACCAGTCAGTGGTTCTTCAGAAGGACACCAATTGTGTCCAATGCAGTTTGCTTCCTAGTTCAGCTGTATGTTTTACACTACAACTCCCATCATCCCTGATTACTGGCCACACTGTCTGGGGCTGATGAGAGCTGTAGTCCACAATATCTGGAGGAGCACCATGTTGGCTATTCCTAGTTTAGGTGACTCCATTAGATGAATCCAGCAGAAGGAACTACCGTTGTATGAAATTACTTCTATTCAGCCAATAAAGCCAAGAAGCAAAAGCTGATCTGCCAAAGCCCAGCCAAAAGACCTTCTCAGTCTTCTGGCGCATTGCAGAGAGAATAGCTGAGCAGAGGCAGTTTCTCCTCTGTAACAAGACCACAGTGAAAGAAACAGCTGCATGCTGAACTTTTCTATCACAAAGGTTTTAGAAATAAAGGAACAAGCAAAACCTGCCTGCTTACATGTCCCAGCAGTTCAGGAAATAATTTGCCCATATTCTGAACCTGAACAACAATAGAAAGAAACGGCAGCTTGGGAAAGGTTGGGTATCCTAGATCTGACAGAGAGAGAAACAGTGGACAATCAGGAAAAACAAAGTCATGTTCAGGACACCTCAATGTGGCTAACTCATAACATTTCTCTTTGCTCCTCTCCCTTATAAAGTAGTTAAAACTAAGATTTCTAAGTGTGATTCCAGAGCTTGGAATAGTACATTAATTATACTAATAACTAATTATAACAGACACTAGCTATTTCCCATACTGCTATTGTCTAAAAACAGGCTGGTTGGTGCATGTAGTTCTGTTAACTATGAATTTCCCAAATCTGGTTCCAACCCGCCCCCACAAAAAAATATATATGCCAACATGATGTTTTGTGTCACAAGCCACAGGTTTTATGTCACCAGCCACAATTGTATATTGATACATAGTTAATGCCTCCACCACACCCAAATTAACATTGTCAATTCTCTTCCATAACTTTGGCATGGCTTTTGGGGGAAATCCAGATCGAGAGCACCAAAGATATATATTAACATAAACAGAACATTAGATACTTCCCAAGAAACTTAAAACACAGTACATGAGCCAAAATCAGAGTCATACAGTATCTTATTGCATATCTAAAACTGACAGTATCTATTAACACTTATGAAGAGTGTCATGATGACACAGACCACTTTAATGCTCACATTTTGGTTATTCCACATTATAAACTGTGACTCTTTTGTGGCTGCTATTAAAATCCAATATCCCCCCCCCCCGACATATTTGTGAACACACACACATCTCATGCATGTACTTTTATATAGATGAAGATTGGTGTGCAAAGACTACAAGTCTGTGGGGAGGGATAGCTGCCTAGAAAAAGAATTCAGAGAGTTTAATAGACTGAACTTATTTTGAACCCACATATATTTTGGGATTTCATGTGAGGAACTCCAGCATATAGCCACTTTAGGAATTTTCATTATTCATACATCCATACTGGCTGAATTTACAAAAGTTGCTGGCATAATATTTATGACATTCAGATGCTATTATAAAATACCTTGCAACTGAGCTAGTTAACCTAACTGTGGCTATAAACAGACATTTGGAAGAAATCTCCCCAAGATTATTGCTGGATTACATTTGCTTTTAGCTGAACTTCAAGGAATCAAGGGCAATTGTGAAATGTGTCATCACAGGCAGGTCTTAAGCCATCACACAAAATTCATACATTAAAGGCCTGTTGGGTCATCTGGTCTGTTTTGGATTCCATGCACTTTCCTGCTTTTTTGAAACTTATCCTGATAATATCTGTGCTGGGTTTTAGGCAAATATACTGATGTATCACACAGGCATCATTTCCATAAAGTTATATGTTATATTGTAGGTGTTATATTGTTATGTATGTTATATTGCTATATGTTATATTGTGTCCTCCGCCATCTATCTGAGATTTATTCAGTCTCCACCTTCCAGAAAGGATCTGGTGCCAAGACTCGTCTCTAAAACTGGCAATTGTAGAAGCCAGGTGGCTTCAACTCAGGGGACTTGGACACCATCACTGACTGCCCAGGAATATGGTGATCCAAACTAGACAAAACACTGGTGCATTCCAGACTCTTCACTGTAGTACTGTTATGATGGTCTCTCAGCCTGCTGTATGTTGTCCCAGACTAAAGATTCATTTAGAGGGCTGCCAGTTTCCACTGTCCCTGACCTTTGGCCATACTGTCTGGGGCTGACAGAAGTTGGACATATGGAGGACTACATGTTCCCCACCCAGGGCTGCAGAACCTCCAGTCCACGTGCCTATTTAGGCCATTTTGGCCAAGTATATTCTAGAGCCTATTTTACATAGCACTCAAGAGAGATGCTGGCACTGTGTAAAGTAGGAGCTAGAATATACTTTTGTGGTTCCCAAAGACCTATAATTGATGGGAAGGAATATTCTGTAGCACATGTGAATAGCTGGGAGAGCACTTTCTCACAGAAGGCCACCACGCCCTCCCTGCCTGTGCTGGATTCCACTCCTGCTCTTCCAGGGAAAGAACATGTCTACCATAAATAAATAAATAAAAACCAGTATAGGGCAGTGCATTGAAATACTGTATTGTAATGTAATTCCCCACTAGTCAATGCTTCTTTCTCTTTCCTATATTAGTCATACGGGTCGTAATGAAT